GGGATTATGTACCACAAGGGGGTCGGTTGGTAGATATTCCTGGGCACTTCTTGGAAACATATGTGGTGCTCTTGGGGGCCACCTGGGGGCCCCAAGAAGCCTTGTAGGGCCCCTTTTCCGGCCCTCCGAGGCCGTCTTCCCTCCTGCCTCCTCCTCCTACGTTATCCTGATTCCTCCTGCAGCACCCATCCTCTGCATCCTCCTCCTGCCTCCTCCTCCCCCCCTCCTCCTCCTCCTCCTCGCCCTCCTTCATCCTCTCCTGCACCTGCATATTGTTATTCCTCATCCTCCTCCTCCCTCCTCCTCTTCCTCCTCCTCCTGCCTCCTCCTGCCTCCTCCTGCTCCTCCGGCTCCTCAGGGCAACAGGGGCCCCGGAGCATTCAGAGGGCCGTTGGGGTCCGCACTGCGCTCCCCACTGCACTCCCCGCTGCGCTCCCCACTAGCGCCCCACTAGCGCCCCACAAACGACTGTCACAGGGTTCGTGGCCATGCCGGATTCGGCTTAAAGTCGAGTGCCACAGTCGAGTGCGAAGTCCCGCTTAAGATTTCTCGTGGGCTCGTTGGTGGGCTCGCTAGTGGGCCCCTTAGTGGGCTCGTTAGTGGGCTCGTTAGTGGGTCGCTAGTGGGCCCCTTAGTGGGCTCGTTAGTGGGTCCCTTAGTGGACTCGTTAGTGGGTCCCTTAGTGGGCTCGTTAGCGGGCTCGTTAATGGGTCCCTTAGTGGGGGCGTTCGGGGGTCCGCTCCTGGGCCGTTCGTGGGCGGCCTCCTGGAAGAGCCTCGTGTTGCCTGGTGGGCTTCTTGATGCGAGCCCTCAGTGACTGCGCCCAAGAGAGTCCGAAAGGTTTCAAGACCCACCGATGAGAGCCCAACGGAGACTTCGAGAGTCCGACGGGACCCGACGGAGCCGGAAGGAGCCACACGGAGCCCGACGGAACACGACAGAGCTCAAAAGGGAAAGGAAAAGGCGACAGGATGAGCCCGACGAAGCCTGACAGAGCCCGACTAGAGGAGGGAGGAGGACAAGGAAAGGAGGAGGGAGGATGACAAGGGGAGATGCGGAGCCCGACGGAGCCCAATCGAGCCCGCAAGAGCACCACGAGAGCCTCGCGAGAACCCCTGGGGGAGCCCGGCGAGAGCCCCGCGTGAGCCCCACGAGACCCCGAGCGAACCCCGAGGAACGCCCGGCGAAATCCTTGCGGGGAACCCCATGAGAGCCCCGCAGGAACCCCGCGAGAGCCCAACGAGCGAGCCCCACGAGACCCGTGGGAGCCCAAAAAAGCCCCACGAAAACCCCGCGAGGCAATGCCGGCCCCAAAGACAGTGCTCGAGGGAGGCAGGCCGCGTATTTTGACGGTCGAGCCATCTTCACCACATGTAGGATGCACTTGTGCATCGTTCTCGTTCTTCACTGGCCCATGCACGTGTTTTTCGTCACCCGCCCATGTATGCATATTTCCATATGCTGGCCGATGCTCAATGTCGTGTTCTAAACTGGTTAATGCTCACATGGTCGCACGCACATTGGCCCATGCATATATTGCGCACGTCTGTGGCGAAGGTCCCCTTTGCAGCTTAACTGTTATACATGTTGAAGCACCCGCAAGTTCCTTGATCGGCGATGCAATTTGGGCCGATGGGTCGATGGGCCGTCGGCAGTCGTCTGCAGAAAGCACCCCCTGTCAGCGCGCGCAGGGATGCCGAGGGCGACTGACACGGCTGAGAAACACTCGCCCGACTCACTATGTGAGCCTCCCGGGCGCGACACTGGGAGGAAGCCTCCGAGTGCCTGCAGGGCGGTGCATGGCAATTTGTGAGCGCTTGACAGTAATGGCCACCTGTGAGTGTTTTGCAATGTCGGGAAAACGTTGGCGGGTCACTTCCAAACCACGCCAAAATAATGACCGCACGTTTAAGACGACTCTGCCGCTATCATGCAATGCGCATGCCGTTGGGCATGCACCGGGCCCCGCCCCGCGCAATCGCCATGGCCGCGAACCATTCTGGCGAGATGCGCAACCATGGGCATACGCGCGCCCGCGATTCAGCCACCCCCCTCGAGAAGGAGGGGGCAAAACCATAGCGCCCGAATCCAACAAAAACGGCAATGAGCAATGAGTTCGGAGCGCGAGTCCAGCGCGCGCCGCAAAAACGAAACAAGAAAAAACAAAAAAAAAAAAAAAAAAAAAAAAAAAAAACATGGAAACAACAAAAAAATAGTGGATCCTAGCCTCGGGGAGAGCTGAGGGTTTGCTCTGACGTTGCACCGGCGCTGCCCGCGGCACTGGATCCAGGGGGATTGCGTACTCCGACCTTGGTGAATCGATCCTGGACCTCGGCGTCCACGCCTAGCCATGGGAGAGAATCTGAAATGTCCACTGGCGCTTCGACTCCTATCTGGCTGTTGAGCGAGGGAAGGACTGGGGGCTTGGCTGGATACAGTGCTCTGAAGTCTCGATCCAGGATGTGATCCAGGGTGGCCAGGCCTATGTTCCATATCGGGACCAGGCAGCGTCGGCAGCACCATGTAGCGTTCCATTTGCGCTCCCACCAGGCCACGGCTCGCTTGTCGACGGGGGGCAGTCCAGCTTGCTCGGGAACACCTATGCCTTCCGCCGGCTTCCATATGAAACATCCCAGGGGCGGGGGGCCAGTGTCCCAGACGAGGAGCGGGGCCCCCTGGGGGCATGTGTCGCACCGCGCGGAAAAGATCTGGGTCTGTGCGGCTTTGATGCCGAAGCGCTCGTCCCGGATCCGTAGGATGGGAATGGTGGTACTGGCTCGCTCGGGGATCTTCACGCCCGTCGGCGCCATGAGGAGGTCCGCTAACGTCCTCGCGTCCGCCTGGGGGCTGCATCCGAAGCCACGTGGGAGGTGTCCCAGGGAGGGGAGGGCGTACGCCTTGTCGTTGTTGGCACCCGTCCTCTGTTGCTCATGCTCCTTGACTTTGTCGGCGAATGTCGCTCCTGTCGGCGTTGCGAGGCCTTGTTCCTCCAGGTGGCGTAACCAGCAGATGTCGCAGTGCCACCCCATGTTGGCGCCGTTGATGTAGGCCTGAGGCCTATTCTGAGCGACCATCTGGCACGTGGTGTCGGAGATCCAGGTGCCATCAGAGGGGCGCAGATGGTCCTTTCCGCAACTGTCGCACCTGAATATGCAGTTTTTCTGCTCGGGTGCGAGCCTCTCGTCGGGGATGTATGGAGGGTCCTGTCTGGTGCCTGGGGCGGGGGTCGGCGGCGGGGGGGCATTGAGGTCGGTGTTGGACAGGGCAAGTCCGCCGCCGATGTAGGAGAGACCCGCAAGCCGATCGCCAGGACCCAGGGAGGCGTCGGTCCCCGCCAGCGCAACGTGTAGCGCACACACTGAGCAGCTGCGCGTATCCAGGGAGATCGGAGTTGCGGCCGGGACGATTTTTCCAGGACGAGCATTGGCGCATTTAACTGGAGGTCCTGCCTGTCCATCTCACTCCAGGTCTGCGGGCAGCCGGCTGCCTGCGCAATCGGGTGGTGGTGCGCCAACGCCACGAGCTTGGAGATGTGGGGCAAGACTGCCTCGATGCGTCCGTGTAGGTCGGCTAGGTCGTCCAGCGTGAGGCTCCAGGTTCGGGCGAATTGGCTTCGGAAATCCTGGTGAACCTCTTGCCAGGGGACACAGAACCCCAGGATGGTTTCGATGACGTCCCCGGCCTGCTCTGCATGAGAGAAGGGCCACAGAAACACGCACGGCTCGCGGAGCATGAGCATCATGACGACCAGGAGTGACCGGGCCTTGCAGGATTCCATGGGGAGGCCGTCGGTGTCTATGATTCCCTCACGGAACTCATCCATCATGGACCCGCCCAGCGCCCCTCGGAGGATCTCTCCCAAACCGGCCATTCCAGGGTGCTTCCTGTGTCTGCAGCAGTCCTTGGTGGCGGTACTCCACGCCTTGGGGACCTGGCGGAAGAGCCCCTTGGGGGTGCACTGGCGACGCTTCCAGAGTGCTACACGCCTGCCACTGGTGTGAGGCAACGGTGGAAGGGAGTCGTCCGGGACTGCGTAGCTCGCGTTTTCCCAGGGGGTGCCCAGGCCGAGCGTCCACACCATTGCCGCCCACAGCATGTTGTAGACTAGATTGGTTGCGTCTACTCCCAGAGACATGTCAAACAAGAAGCCCAAGTGCGACCACGCCTTGCGGTCGAGCTTGCCCGGCTGTCGCGGTGTCGTGGCCAGTGAGAATTCGTGGGGGTGCAGACCGGACATCAAGTAAATGAGCACGTGGAAGGCAGGCGTCGAGAGGATATCGTGGAACCCGCCCGAGATTAGCTTACCCAGGGCCTCCCAATCGAAGTGTTCGTCCAGGGGTGTGTTATAGCGCTCGGCAAAACCGGTGGCCTGGGCGTCACGCGCTTTCTTCTTGGCAGCGTCAAGCTCGTTCTGCCCGTTCTCCCCCTTTGCGTCACAGCTCTATGCGATGGGCGAGGGTATCCATGATGCGAGGTCGTGCAGTGGGTCGAAGCGTCAAGAATTTCTGGAGCTTCACCTTCCCCTCCACCTCCCATGCTTTCTCATGTTCACCTGGAAATCGACGCCCATTCGTGTTTGCCGGGGGCGAAGGAGGGGGAGGAGGGGTGAGGAGGAGGAGGAGGAGGAGGAGGAGGAGGAGGAGGAGGAGAGGATGAGGGATGAGGAGGAGGGAGGGGGGGGATGGGAGGGGGGGGAGGAGGGGGGGGGGGGAGGAAAAGGGGTAAAGTGGGATGGGGGGGGGGCGCGTTTGTTGTGGGAAAGGGAGGGGCCTCTCGTTGGCTCCGGGCACACGGGGTCTTTCGTAGTGCGGCCAGAGAGATCACGCGGATCATCCTCTGGCCCACGGCGCGCGGCCTCCCCGCAGTGCTCACGAAGTCAAGTGCAACGCGCTCTGCCCGCGTCCGACCCCATCCGGCACGAACGCCTGCGCACGAGCCACTGAGCACAGTTTCGAGACCCCCCTGTGCAAAGGGCCCTTTAGCCCGAATCCCACTTCGACCTTGACCTCGGCCAGCCCATCGACGCTTGGAGCGGAACTGACAGAGGCGCGACGCGACGCGGAAGCCCCCGCGGCGCGACGCTTCGACCGGAAGCAGACGAGGCGCCGGGGCACGGCGATCACGATGAGCAGCGCCCCGAAGCCCTCCAAGAAGGCGGCGGCAGCACCGGCGAGCCGATTCGTCAGCGGCGACCGACCTGAATCGGCGGTGCGCACGAGGAGGTAGGGGCAGGGGGGAGGGTTTCTGAAAGGAGGCTGCTTCTTAGAAGGCGCAGGCCCTACATCTACAGACAAGGCCCGCGCCTTCTAAGAAGCAGGGGTGCTTCTAAGAAACCTTACCCCCTCCCCCTAACCCCCCTCTGCGCGTGGCCGACTTAAGACGAAGCCAGGACGAGGATAAAGTTGGGTGAGGATAAATCCGCAGGCCCCCTTGCGGGGCCACCATGCTGTAGGGCGAAGGTTCGCAGTTTCCTGTACCAGTTGCAGCTTCCAGTTTCCACTGTTACAGTTCTGCGTCTTGCTGCTCACTGTTCCTTGTTGATGGACCGCGCGAGGGGGGGAGGCCCAAAACGAACATTTTTACACGCCCTGAGCGTGTGCTCTGAACTGCTGGGGTGGGTAAAAACTTACACCCCTCGCGCAGATCGGCGGGGTCAGGGTCCAAAAACAGGATTTGCTACATTTCTGAAATTCCGTGGTACCCCTCACGCAGATCGGCGGGGTCAGGGTGCAAAAACAAATTCGGTTGCACCCCTCACACAGATCGGCGGGGTCAGGGTCCGAAAACACAAGAGATTTGCCACATTTCTGAAATTCGGCGGCACCCCTCACGCAGATCGGCGGGGTGAGGGTCCAAAAACACAAGGGATTCGCCACATTTCTGAAATTCGGCGGCACCCCTCACGCAGATCGGCAGGGTCAGGGTCCGAAAACACACAGGATTTGCCACATTTCTAAAATTTGGCGGCACCCCTCACGCAGATCGGCAGGGTCAGGGCCCGAAAAAACCCAAGAGATTTGCCACATTTCTGAAATTCGGCGGCACCCCTAACGCAGATCCGTAGGGTCAGGGTCCAAAAACACAAGGGATTCGCCACATTTCTGAAATTCGGTGGCACCCGTGACGCAGACCCGTAGGGTCAGGTTCGAAAAACAAACAGGTCCCGACACTGCTTCACGGCGGCGCCCAGACCTCATGATTTAGCCTTTGCATCTCCCATTATCCGAGACAGGGGGCCGGCGGCATGGGGCAAAGCCCTTACAGATCGAGAATCTCTGAGATCCGGCGGCTCTGGAGGATGTCTCGGGCGCTGCGGCCTTCTCCGAGCGCTCCAGAATGCTCTGGGAGCGTGCCAGAACTCTCTGGGACATATTTTGTCCTCGTTCTAGCCCATCCTAGACCTCCTTCTGGAGTCTCGCCCAACTCATGGTCTGGGTTCACAAAGCAAGGGATCAAGGCGTACAGAAGGAAGATGCCGAACAGCTGCAGATGCAGGACATGCCACTCCGGGAACGTCCAATTGCTGATCACGGACCGTATATGCTGCATGGCCACCACCGACAACAGGCACACCGACAGCGCCTGTGCCAAACTTTCATCGAGAAGCTCGAACAAGATCTTGAACGGCTCTTTTCCCAGAGTTGTCTCCTCGACGTTGAAGATGATTGATGCGTGATCCGTCTCCATGGGCATGTCGAAGAGCGTCCACCTCGAATCGGGGTCGACTGCAGAATTGGCTTACCCCAAAAAAATTGACTTCCCTGTCGAGCCTGCAGCACATGGCAGACTGTTCCGCAGATCCACGGAGCAGTCCACGATGCTTCGCAGATTCGACGGGAAATCAACTCTGGGGTAAATCAATTACTGGCCATCGCTCGGACTTCCATTTGTTGTGTTTTTTTCGGTTTCGTGCGAGGTTTTTTCGCCAAATGGTCAAGGATGCTCCTCGATGGTTCTCGCCGAAGAAAAAATGCACACGTCCGAGCGATGCCAAGATTATGTAGTTGATCCCCTACTCGCATACCCTAGCACTGAGGGCGACGCCCCCATTGCTGCAGACGGTGGGGGGGGCGCAGTGCCCGTCGCTGCTGGCTGGCGTGGCGCCTCCCTTTGGCCAGAGCGGCTAGCGAACGACGGGCGATGCTGCTGATGATGCTGCTGGTGGAGCTGCCGATGGTCTGCTGATGCTGATGATGCTGGTGAGCGTTTTCTCACTCGGCGTTTCGACATTGGGACAATGGGGAGGGTGAGGGGGGGGTCTGGCTCCAGACCTCTGCTGAATGCGACTACTTGCAACAGTGCGTCAAAAAGGGGAGGGACTCCACCTGCTTGAAACAAGCGCCAAAAACAGGCAAGATCTACACCATGGGGGGGAGGAGATGCGAGGGCCCGCGCCGATAGACAAAACAATGTATCAGGAAACGGTCACCTGCTGATGATAATGTCGATGTGGTAGCTTGCTGGACTGTCCACCAAGCCCTTGATGCTACCGTTCTGGATAGCCACTGTATGCCCCACGACAGGGAACACAAGAGCCGTAGAAAACCCAATCTTGGAAGATGGCCCCGAGTAGTTACGCCATCCCTTTCGAGTTCTTAATGGCCAGGGTGACTCCTCCTATAAGCTAAGAAGGGTACGAAAATGAGGATAACTCGCGGGGTGCATAATGCAAAGGTTTTAACCATCGTATGGCCTTGGAGAGATGCCGAGATGACCACACTGATTGAATACTATATCTCTGCTGTGCCCTTGCATACAAGGTCAACAGGCAGAGAGCCTGGGACAAGACTAGCTACTGCTGCTGCAGCTGAGGCTGCTGAGGCTGCTCGTGTCGCTGATAGAAGTGCTGCTACTGATGGTGCTGCTGCCGATGCTAATGTTGCGAGGGTTGTGCTGCTGATGATGCGATTGATGCGGTTGCCGAATATAGCGCTGATGTTGCTTGCGCTGCTGCTAGATGCTAGATGTGCTGCTGGTGATCATGCTCATGTTCGTGCTGCACTGCTGGTGATGATGCTGTTAATGCTGCTGGTGAATATGATGCTGCGCCGCTGGTGACAATGATGACGACGATGCTGCATATGATACCAGTTGTGCTTCAGGCACTACCGCTGCTGCTGCTGGTGATGCTGATTGCACTGCTGATGACGATGCTGGTGCTGCTGGTGCGCTGAATGCTGATGATGCTGCCAGTGCTGTTCATGGTGCTGCTGGTAATGCTGCTGGTGCTGATGCTGCGGTGCTGCTGATGATGGCAGATGCGTCCCGACGAATGCCCCCGACTGATGCCCGCGACGCCCGCTGCGTCAGATGTCACTCCGCTGGACCCCCAGGAGCACACGGAAGGGTGGCAACGGTTTTTCAGCTCGCAGCTCCCAGGAACCACGAAGACTCAGACGCCACCCCGCTGGACCCCCCAGGACCACGCCAACGTGGCGACGGCTTCGCAGCTCGCGGCTCACAGGGGCGGCGAGGTTCCACTTAGCTTTGCGCAGGACGCCCCTGCGCTGGAGACCTCAGGAGCACACGAATGAGGCGACGGTGCCCCAGCTCGCAACTCATAGGGATGGCCACGTCCTGCTTTGATCTGCGCTTGACAGACGCCACCGCGCTGGATTCCCCAGGACCACGCCATACGTGGCGACGGCGCCGCAGCCCGGAGGCCCCATGAACGGCAAGCTCTCGCTCTGACTTGAGTAGGACGTCCCTTCGCTAGACCCATTACTCCCAGCTCGCAGCCCCCAGCTCGCAACCCTCAGGGGCGGCGAGGTTTCCTGGTGACAACGTGAGACGTCAGCCCGATGGACACCCCACGAGCGCGTGAAAGTGTCAACGGTTTCGCGGTCCGCAGCCTTCAGGGACGTCGGAGTCTCATTTCAATCTGCGTAACATTTTGCTCCGCTGGAGCCCCCAGAGAAGACGAAACGGGCGAGGGTTTCGCATTCCCAGCCCCCCAAGAACGGCGACGTTTCATTCTGATCTGGGTAACATGATATCCCGCTGGACTCCCCAGAGCACACGAAAGTGGCGAAGGGCTTGCAGTTCACAACCCCCCATTGGACCGCGATGTCGCATTCTGAGATGCGTAAGACATCACTCCGCTGGACCCCCCAGGAGCACTTCGAAAGAGGCGACGGTTTTGCAATTCGCAACCACCACCCCCTTGAGGGAAGGCAAGGCCAGCAGGAGGACGGAGGAGGGGGGGCGGGAAGCACATGGGAGAAGGAGACGCGCGAAGACTGATTCCAAGCGGATATCCAAACAGAGAGGGGCTGGGAAGAAGAAAGATGCGCGAGGAGGACAGAGGTAACGAAGCAGGAAAACTATAATGTAAAGCGGTGAGCACAACGGATGTTGTCTGTATAGCGGTGTCTAAAGAGCGCCATGGGTAAGGTACGCTTGAGAGCGGGCGCGGAGCCTGGTCCTTGCGCTCGACGCGCGCCAAGGCGAGGTCGCTGGCATTGGCGGCGGCGGCGCCGCTGAGGCTGGGGCCATGTGAAATAGGGCACGCCCCCTTGCCAGCGCCGGCCTGGACTGTCGCGCGCGAGATGCCCCTCTGAATCGGACTCGCGGCACTTGAGACGCGCCACGTCTGGGCCCAATGGGTCGGCCTGACAGCCAAGCCCCAATCCATCGGTCCTACGTTTGCTCTTCCCCCACACTTGCCCCCCCGAATCCTGCGACCGTCGCGCGGAGGTCCGCGTCGGACAAGTCTGCCAAGAAGGCGCAGTAGCCTTTTTGTCGCGGCCCTTTGCGCTTGCGCCCGATGACCCCCCCCGCGCGGCGCGCGGGCTCGCGGCCGCCGAAGCGGCGCCATCGGGACTTGGCGCGCCCGTGAGCCCAGAAGAAGCATGCGCCGACCTGCCCCACGGGGGCGTCGCTCAGTTCGGGATCGTCGGCGGCGATCTCTTCGTCGGCGTTGGAGTCGGCATGCGCTGCCGGCAGACCCGGCGCCGCCCCATGCGCTGTTCCAAAGGCACTCTGATAAACTCCAGTTCCAAAAGCACTCTGAGCCTGATATCGAGACGGCGCGCCCGCGAGAAACGCCTGGAGTTGCGACGAGCTCGCGGCCGATGCGAGATTGCCCTGCGAGACTTCAATCATGTGACCAAGTCGGCGCAGCTGGCCCTCCGCGCGCGCCAGCTGCGGCGCGCCCGCGGCGCAGGCCGCGCCGCGGCGCCGCGGGGCCATAGCGAGCTGCATGTCTGGCGCGCCCACCGCGCGCAGCAGGAGGTAGCTCGTGCCCACGCATCCGATCATGAATTGACCGGCCCGCTGCGCCCTGTTGAAGGGGATGTCGAGCCTGGCGAGGAGGTTGTCGATGCGCTCCTGGGGCAGTGGGTTAAAGCCCAGATGGGCGGACACTGCCTGCGCGCGCCCCCACTTTCCAAGCTGGCCCCGCCTATCGGGCAGACCGCGCGTAAGGTAGGTCATGGGCGGCACTGGGTCGCCTTTGACATGACAGCCTTAGACGAGGACAGCCAGCGGCCACTCGCAAACGCACTCGCGAGCCATGCAGGTCAAGCGAGACGAGACGCAAGCCGCCTGGCGGAACTCGTCGAAGTCGGTCTTCGCCGCTGACCAAAGCATTACCTCGAGCGCCCACCGTTGGAAGGGCACGCGAGCTTGCTACTCGGGCCCCCAAGCGCCCAGGCGACGCACGTTGCCGCTGCCGCCGCCGCCCGCGCCCATGCAGGCGACGCAGCTGACGGCGGCGAATGTGGTCCACCCCGACGGCCTTCTATCCGGATTGGAGCCCCATCAAACGCCGAGGAGGCGCGACAGTCCTGGCACCCACCAACAGCGATGCTCAGGTAGTGGTCAACGCAGCCGTCGTGGACATCGGCCCCTGGCGTACGCATTGGGCCATCCCTTCTGTCGCACGATTGGTTCCCAGGCTGCACTCGGAGCATCCCGCCACATAGTGGCGTTTCAGCTCATCGCGTGTCGCACTGCTGCTGCACAGGGCACTGCTAAGTGGACAACAATCCAGAGGAGTACGCAGAGGGATCCAGGTATGCCCTGAAGCAAAGAGTACGTAAGCAACACTGAAAGTCACGCGCCGGAGTGCCGACAGCGAGCAGTCCAAGACCCTCGCGGCAGCCCCACGGAACACAGGCAACATGGTTGCCCGACCCTCCTTCGAAGTCCCGTTCTGGCCTGCATGTGCTTCCCCCGCCTCTAGCACATAGTTGCCCTTGGCTCGGGACGTCCATCCACCGCCGACGATGCGAGCGTCGGACCCAAAAGCTGCTGGACATAGGTGGCTACACCCACAAGCGAATGAAACGCAGGCGGCACGCACTGATCCTCGTCTCCCTCGGGCTGTAGCCACACGGTTGCGCTCAGTTTGGGATCCTGCACCGTCGCCGCGGATGTGACTGCCGTTTCGGGCGGCTGCTCGACATTAGCGGTCCCCCCCATAGGCGGGGGCTGTGGCGACGAGGACGTTCCGAGACTGTCGAAAATACTTCGAAACAGCTCGGAAAAAGAAGAGGATGGAGGGGCACCGTCCTTGGTGTTGTACTGGTTGTGGTATATGTGTTTGCGTTCATGCGCCCACGGTTGCGGCTGGGCCGGGTTGGCCCTTGCCTCGGGAAGGAACATCATCAGCACAAACGTGGAGCGGATTGTACAGCAGAAGGTCGTCGATGACGGTGGATGAAAACAAACGTTTTGTGTATAGCGGTGTC